ACACTTTCAGGGTGATGTTGGGGGCACAGAGGAGGGACAGCCAACCCTGACTTAGGAAGTCATGGAAGCCTTCTTGGAGCAAGTGATGTTGAGGCAGAGCTACAGGGAGTTAACTAGGCCACAGGGGTGAGGAGTGGGGCGAGGGGGAAGGGAATTTCTGGCAGAGAACAGATTGTACCCTCCCTGGGGCATATTTGACAACTAAAGTAAGCAATAAATTATTTAAATTATAAAAATATATTTAAAGGATCAATTATTTAAATTACTTTTTTGTGGAAACATCACCAAAGGCAAGGGAAGCAAGGGCAAAAATGAACTATTGGGACTTCGTCGAGATAAAAAGCTTTTGCACAGCAAAGGAAACAGTCCACAAAACCAAAAGACAACCGACAGAATGGGAGAAGATATTTGCAAATGACATATCAGATAAAGGGCTAGTATCCAAAATCTACAAAGAACTTATCAAACTCAACACCCAAAGAACAAATAATCCAATCAAGAAATGGGAAGAAGACATAAACAGACATTTCTGCAAAGAAGACATCCAAATGGCCAACAGACACATGAAAAAGTGCTCAACATCACTCAGCATCAGGGAAATCCAAATCAAAAGCATAATGAGATACCACCTCACACCAGTCAGAATGGCTAAAATTAACAAGTCAGGAAACGACAGATGTTGGTGAGGGGGCAGAGAAAGGAGAACCCTCCTACACTGTTGGTGGGAATGCAAGCTGGTGCAGCCACTCTGGAAAACAGTTTGGAGGTCCCTCAAATAGTTGAAAACAGAGCTACCCTACGACCCAGCAATTGCACTACTGGGTATTTACCCCAAAGATACAAATGTAGTGATCCGAAGGGGCACGTGCACCCCAGTGTTTACAGCAGTAATGTCCACAATAGCCAAACTATAGAAAGAGCCTAGATGTCCATCAATAGATGAATGGATAAAGAAGACGTGGTGTATATACATACAACGGAATATTATGCAGCCATCAAAAAAATGAAATCTTGCCATTTGCAACAATGTGGATGGAACTAGAGGGTATTACGCTAAGTGAAATAAGTCAATCAGAGAAAGACAATTATCATAAGATCTCACTGATATGTGGAATTTGAGAAACAAGACAGAGGATCATTGGGGAAGGGAGGAAAAAATGAAACAAGACGAAACCAGAGAGGGATACAAACCATAAGAGACTCTTAATCTCAGGAAACAAACTGAGGGTTGCTGGAATGGTGGGGGTGGGAGGGATGGGGTGGCTGGGTGATGGACATTGGGGAGGGTATGTGCTATGGTGAGCGCTGTGAACTGTGTAAGACTGATGAATCACAGACTGATGAAACAAATAATACACTATATGTTAATTTAAAAAATAAAAAATTAAATTAAAAAATTATTTTTTGTGTTTAGAATTGTCTGTTCAGTGTTTATAACCTCCTAACATATCTATGGCAAGCAGAGTTTACAGATAGTCCATACCAGAGTTTCAAAGTGTATGCTGATTTTTCAGTTGTGGAGTATCTGCAAACGTCTGATGTGACTTCCATTTCTAAGTGTTATTTGATTCCTTGAAAATAAACACTTTTATGTTAGGACAGTTTTAGACTATTATTTGATTTTTAACTTTATGTTTTGAAATCACTTCAAACTTATAGAAGAGTTGCAAGAACTTTTCTATAAAAGCTCCCATATATTCTCTACATTCACCAGTCACTGACATCTTCCTACATTTGCTTTATTCACTATATTTCTCTACACATATATATGCATATATATATACATAAAACCACATGTATTATTATTCTTATTCTTTGCCAGTTTGAGACATTATACTCTTTACCCCTAAATACTTTAGAACCTATCTCCTGAGAATAATGACATTCTCTTACAGAACCCCAGTACAATGACTGAATTCAGGAAAACTAATAGCGATGCTATGCTACTATTTAATTTATAGTCTGTATTCAAGTTTCACTGATTGTCCCAACAATGTCCTTTACATTTTTCCTTTTTTAAAAATTTTATTTTATTTAAATTCAATTAACATATATTGTATTATCAGTTTGGAGGTAGAGTTCAGTGATTCTTCAGTTGTATATAACACCCAGTGCTCATTACATCACATGCCCTCCTTAATGCCCATCACCCAGTTACCCCATCCCTCCCCCCCACCTCCCCTCCAGCAACCATCCGGTTGTTTCCTAGAGTTAAGAATCCTTTACATTTTTCTGGTTAAAGACCCATACTGCCTTTAGTTGTGGCATCTCTTTAGGGCCTTTTAACCTGAACCAGCCCCTCAGCCTTCCTTTGTCTTTCAAGCCATCGATATTTTTCAGGAGAAAAGATCATTTTTTTTGTAGGATGTCCCTTAATGTGAGTTTATGGGATGTTTCTTCGTGATCAGATTCAATGGATGCATTTTTAGCAGGTAAGGGATGTTCTATCTTTCTAAGGATATTATATCATTCATCACATCACTCATGATGTCAGTGCATCTCATTATTGGTGATTTTAACTTTTATTTTGGTTTATATTATATTTTAAACTGTAACACAATCATACACATCCAAATGTGTTTATATGTAAATGTTATCACAAAGGAGATTAATAGTGAGCTGACCTGCTCTATGTTACCTTGTTTGAATGCAGATTGTAGTGTTTTGTTTCTCCTGTCATCTCTGCATATATCAGAACTTCTTGTAAATGTGTCATTGATTAGTAAGATTGTAGTTGTGCTCTGCCTTTAAAAAAGCTGGGTATAAAACTCTACAAGTAACAAATTACTACTTAGCCATGTATATCAGAATTTTCCTGATGCTGTACAACCGAAACAATGTTCAAAAGTAAATTGGAATCCCGAAGCTGATTTAAGGTGATGGTGAACCCCAACAAACAGATATGGATTCTTCAAAAGAGCTTCACTGGTCTCATGCCTGATTTTATATTAATTTGGGCTTATAAATTCATAAAATGCCCTTTGCATATATTGTGTATATGTGCTATACGGTGGGCTCCTATACAAGACATTGATAAAAAACAAAAACAAAACAAGAATTTCTTTGCTTTGGCCATTTGAAAACCCCAGCTATATCCCATTGTAGATCCTACCCACTGTAGAATGAATTTTGCTCTAACAACCCCAAAAGGGCTCAGAAAATACACATGCATCCATTTCCAATGGGTCATTGAGTAGAGTCCCTGGTTGTTCCAAATTGCACAAAATTTACGATTTCTTTCTTTTAGTTTGAAATTCAGTTCTACTTACTTTAAAACATACCAATACAAACATTTTAGGAACGTACCATATTATGCAATTACTGACTGACCCAAGCAAAAGACAGTCCTACCTTGGAAAGTGTCTAGCCTAGACGTCTTATTCCACAATGAGGACGCTGAGATCCAGAGAGGTGTCTTCTGAAGAAGGAGAGCTGTTAATGGTAGACCGCAACCCAGAGCCTGTGCCAGGGATTGGGGTGGCTTTCTTATGGCGGAGGTGCTCCCTGGGGAGGTGATCAAGCTGCCCTTCCCTCTCTCCTGGCTAGTGTGGGCTGTTGGCAGCCGAAGCAAGCCTTGAGCAGGGTCCTTCCGTCCGGTTTACTCATCTCAAATTCAGCCATAGAGCTGGAGCCCAGCCAGGTCCTTGGGAGCCTCTAGATTTCCTAGAAGATGGTCTTAACCGAAACACAAGGCTGAAGAGGGGCAGCTGCCTTAGAAAGTCATTTATAATATATTTTCATCGAGAAAATGTAGTAAGTTCCAAAAGAATTTTCCAAGCTCAACCAATGTATCCATAAATTGGAGACCACTTAGAACTCATCCCACCCCATTGAACCAGCGCAGATTTCATGTCTACATGTGCAAGGCAGTACGATAGTTACTTGGCGGGTGCCAACTGGGATATGAAGAAATTTAGGACATGGCCCCATGCTCAAGAAGCCTACAATAATCCTAGGGAGGTGACACATACATATATTAAAAATTTATTAATAATATAAGGTAATGTTTGATGGCATGCTCAGATGAGTGCAACGGAAAGACGGACCACGGAACATTGAAGAAGGAAAGCATTCCGCCATGCGGCTTCTAAGTCAAGTGACGTAGATGAAACTGCAGCTTCCCCACTTGCTAGCTGTGCGGCAAGTTAACTTGAACTTCCTAAGCCGCTTAGAAACACTCTGGGCATTTTAAGTGTCCCCCAAGTGAAGCTATTATTACGCTCTCTCTCTGTGAGCGAACCATCATTTCAAGTATGGAGAGGACGTGAGCAGAGGAGCAGGAGTGGGCTTCGCGGCAAGGTGATAGAATCATATGGAATTATCCTCGCAAAAAGCTCTGCGAGCTACTTCTGTAACTCAGCTTGCAGCCATCACGCACCGCGGAGCAGGCAATTATGGAAACCTGATTCCACCCACCCTCCTATGTCCGCGCTCCTCGGTACCGCCTCCCTGAGATCCCAGCGCCCGTCCCCAGGGGGCGCTGCCGCCCCGCCGACCTGGCCCGGGCCGGCGCGCGCCCCCGCCGCCCGCCCCGCGCGTGCGCGCCGCCCAGGTGAGGAGGCGGCTGCCTGCTCCGCGACGGGGGCGGGCTGCTCAGTCGGCGGGGCGGGGCGGGGCGGAGCTGGAGAGGCCCGGCCGGGACGGGGCGGGGTCGGGGCCAGACCAAGGCCAGAGGCGGGACCAGCCGCCGCCGTCTCCGTCTCGGTGTCCCGTCCCCCACAGCTCCGGGCAGCCGCCGCGGGAAAGCGGAAACTGCCGGGTGCGCCGCGCCGGCCGACAGCGCGCCGAGGAGCAGCGAGGCGGCCTCCGTCCGGCCCAGACGCGCCGAGCAGCGCCCGGCGCTCCCTCCCCCGCAGCCCCGCAGCTCCGCAGCTCCGCGCCGCGGCCCCGCCCCGGCCCCGCCCGAGCTCGCCGCGCGCCCCCCCCCCACGCCGGCCCCCGCGGCCCGAGCGCGCCCACCTGAGCTCGTCTGCGCCCACCTGAGCCCGTAAGCCGGCGCCATGGCGGAGCAGGAGAGCTTGGAGTTCGGCAAGGCGGACTTCGTACTGATGGACACCGTCTCCATGCCCGAGTTCATGACCAACCTCCGGCTCAGGTGAGGGCGGAGTGGCGGTGCGCCCGGGCTGGAGCCTGCGCTTTCCCGAGAGGGGGCGCCCTTGCGGTGCGGCGGGATTGGGGGTGTCAGGGGCGCGCCGAGCTCGAGGGATGGAGTGCAGCCGGATGGGGGTGTTCGGGGGCCCGCCGGAGCTCCATGGTTGCGCCTTCCCGAGGGAGGACGCCCCGGAGTGCGGCCGCCTGGGAGGGTAAGGGGCGTACCGAGCCCCAGGGCTGCGCCCTCGGGAGACGGGTGTCCTGGGTGCTGTCCGGACGCGGGGCGGGGGGAGGGGTGCGAGGGGTGTGCGGGCTGGAGGCAGCTCTTGGGGGCAGGGCCGGCTAGCTCGCTGCCCCAGGTAAGTGATGTGGGCGGGCTGGATGACCTAATGGAAACAAAAATAAAGGAAAACGCAAACTTTAGGGAGAGTTGTGTGGCAGCCACAAAGGCCCTGGGAAGACGGGACGGTTGTTTTGTAGAGAGATTCGGGTCTCATCCCAGTTTCACACTTGGTTTTCTTTTTCTCCTTCTATTTTTTTTTTTTTTTCCTCCTGGCGTGGTTCCATCATGTCATTCAGGATGCTATGGAGTAGTGATCCCTGAGCTTGTCTGTTCCGGGACGCTGTCTATTTTTTTAGTTACTTTCTAAACGTAATTAGACACGTTTCCAGACATCGAAGAGACTGCTCTGCTTGCCAGTGCCAAGATAAACTGTCTGAATTTGACAAGGCATTCATGGTTTCAGTTTTTTTTCAAGGAGTTATGGATAGAGCCCTTGTGTTACTGACATCCTTGAAAATGTAGTCACAACTCAACGCCCCGAAATGGGCTTCCAAGACGAATTTATTTTAGAAACTCTACTACATGTGATTATTTCACTCCTGATAGAGTATATGTAAACAGAACTTTAGTTTTGACTTTTTTTTGGTTAAACATTACACTAAATGGAGTTTCAAAACAACGGAGTTTGGAGGCATGGGGTGGTACCTGGAAGTTATAGCCCCATTTCTTGTAAGGTTTATAGCTAAATATCACTCCATAAGCTTATAAAGTGAAGATCATGATTTAGGTTTGAGTGCTGAACTAACTCCGCTTCTCAGTAATAATTATCCCTATTCATTTTAACTTAAGAATTTTTTTTAAGATTTTATTTATTTGACAGACGAGAGAGAGGGAACACAAGCAGGGGGAGTGGGAGAGGGAGAAGCAGGCTTCCTGCGGAGCAGGGAGCCTGGGGCGGGGCTCAATCCCAGGACTCTGGGATCATGACCTGAGCCGAAGGCAGACGCTCAAGGACTGAGCCACCCAGGTGCCCCTAACTTAAGAATTTAAAGAAAGTTTTTAATCTTTGGAATTGCAAACCCCATAGGGTCTTCTCTTCTCCAGGCTTCACTGTGTCCCAGAGTATGGAGCAGGGGTGCAGTTCTGAGTTCTACATCTGCCTACTACGAGCTGACCTCGAACCAGTCTGTGTGTCTGAGTTTCCTAATTTGTAAAATAGTGAGGATCTTCAAGATTTTTCAGCACTTACGTTCTTTTCTGCTTTTACATATTATTGGTCCCAAAGTCTCTAAGTGTGAGGTTTGAATATTAAACATTATTAAAATGAGCCTAACTTAACCTTGCAATTTAGTTCTACGTTGTGCAAGGTACTTTAGGAGGTAAGGTGGGAGGATCCCAGGAACTATAAGATGTATCCTTATCTCTCAAAGAGGTGACAATGCTAATCAAGACAGGGAGAAAGGTGGAAATTCCTCTTGATTTAAATAATAAATCAAGAAAACAATAGAAGAGTTAAGCTTTGTAGAGTTTAGGTGATTTGTTGCCAAGAAATTGTACACGCTAATTGTTCTGGAGTTCAGAAGAGGAAGAGGTGCTTTAGGCTAGCTCAAAAACACGAGGAGAGAGGTTCAGATGAGTTGCAAAGGATGGGTAGGGTTTGTCTAGGTGGAGAACATTCCAAGTGGATGCAGTGGCGTGCACAGAGGAGTGGAGGCATGAAAGCTGATTCTGTTTGGGTGGTAGTGAACATACTAAGTTGCTGGAGGGGAAGGAGTTGATGTTGGGGAGTTGTGGGAGGAATCACCAGCTCATTAGCGGGACCCTTGGCTAATGCCCAGGTTTCTAGGGCTACCTTCACACCCAATCAGCGAGTCAGTCAAGATCCTGGCTGTTCAGACATGCACATGTATCTCTGTGTGTACTTGACGACTCTGAGAATCGGCTGCAATTCTCAGTGTACAGCTTTCAGTGATTGTTCACGGTTTACTTATAAGCTGGGAGTAGTAGGTTCCCGGTAGCCGTAAACACAGTCTCAGCAGAGTGTAGCAGCAGTACCCTTGCCCTCCTCTTCAGTTGTTAAATCCTGATTACCCAGGTGGAAAGCAGTCCTCTCTCTGATAGTTTGGATTTCCTATTGCCCTGTTATTCCTCCAGACTGTTTTAGTGTTTAGCTGGATGAGCTTCCTGGCTCATGCTGTTGCGACCCTTGAAACATTTGTTTCACTTTTCAAAAGGTGAACTAGAAACACTGCAGGTCCCAGTGCTCTGGATGTTGAAGTGTTTTTATCTCCTGGAACATGGGTGGTTGGGCCAGGCGCGTGTAATTTATGGTTGTATAAGGGCAGAATTTGTGTGTTTCATCTTTCGGTGGATGTGTGTGCATGAGCCCGATCATTCGCGCCTTCCCCAGGTTGTGGCTCCTTCTCTCACTTCTGTCAGGAAGGTCCTGTCTTCTGCTCTCTCCCCTCCCTCCCCCCCCCCTTCTGCAGGACCCTCTTCATTTGTGGTCGGTGACATAGGTACTGAAGACAACGCTGGTTTCAGGGGTCTGTGTCATCCAAACCTGACTGTAATTTTCCTGATACCAGCTCCCAGCATAAAACTGGGTGCATAATACACTCCTTGGGACAACGCTTTTTGTAGAGCAAGAAGAAAAAGAGGGAAAAAGTTACTTTTTTAAAGCTTTTATGACGTTCATTTAGAATTATCTTTTTACTTTGGTACTCTGCTACCCTCCTTTTCCCCTCTTGGAGCTAACATTTGATTTTTAGACATTTGCTACAATTGATGTAACTTTCCTCATACTGTTACTCTTTTCAAAAATTGATGTAGGTGTGTGTCTCTACCTGTGAGTCTGGGTGAGGCAAGATTTAAGGGGTGATGTGGATTAGTGTGAGTATTATCTGTGAAAGAGTTACACTTCTGTTTCTTACCCTTATATGAAAAACTGCTAGTATTTTGAAGGCTGCTTTCTTTCTCTCCTGGAAGTCCCTTGCTGGGGGAGATCTGTTCTATTTAATTCTTTTTCCTTTTTTGGTGGAGGTGCTGGTGGTTTTGGTGGTGGTGGTGGTGGTGGTCAGCTCCTCACTGCATTTTTAATGGGTCTGTGCCCAGGAGTAAGATTGCTGCATAGACACCTCTTGCCTTCATGGTCAGGTCTGGTTCCTTCCAACAGCCCTAATGACCACTTGCAGCACTGGCCACAGTGTCTTCAACATATTCTGCTTTCTTTGCAGTCACTTCCTTTTGGGACCTGGAACCCTTTGCTGGGCCATCCCTGTGCTTGAGTCCTTCCAGCCTTAGCAGCAGCTTTGCACCCTCTCTCGAATTGAGAATCCCGTGAGAGCAAGCTGCATGGAGCAACTGGTCCTCACGGTGTTCCTCACTCCCCACTTAGTCCTGTGAGCAAAAGGGAGAAGGCAGGCCGCTGCTCAGGGCTGGGCCCTGGCCGAGGACCGCATCCCAGACAGATGTGCTTTTCATTTCACTGGGCAATGAAATGCCCCGTAGGCTTCCAGGAGTCCAGTTTCCTAATTTTGTTGGTGATAGTTCCTGTTTTGAGAATAAGGCGTCTGCTCAGCCTGGTATCTTGGCTCCTTGGAAATTTAATTTTTCCTCCCCTCTTTCCTTACTGGTTTTTCTCTTCCATAAAAGCAGTCATTTGAAACACTGTTTGCCAGAGTCACAGGCAACTTCTTAACACAGCATGTCTCTTACACTTTTGCTTAGACCAGGGCTTCTCAACTGCAGCACTCTTGACGCTTGGGCGTGCATAGTTCTTTATTTTGGGGGGCTGTCCTCTGCGTTGTAGGATCTTCAGCAGCATCCCTGGCCTCTACCCACCAGATGCCAATAGCACTACTTTCCTCCCATTTATGACAGCTGAAAATGTTTGCAGATATTGCCAGATGTTCCCTGCAGGGAGCTGGGGGGGGGTGCAGAATTGTCTCCAGTTGAGAACCACTGGCCTCAGTTGTTCTCATTCCCTGGAATGTCGTACTTCCCTCCTCCCTGCTTACGTGCTCTGCTTGTCACTCTTACTCTACCTTTGAGACCAGTTCTGCGAAGTCTTTCCCAGTCCTCCCGAGTCCGGGTTCATTCTACTCTTACCTGTGCTCCCAGGACACATGGGCGCTCGGTCCTCACTGTTAGAGAGAATGTATCAGGTCCTGTTGTTGTCACCTGCATGCCTGCCTTGCCACCTAGTAGTGAGCTCCTCAAAGACAGACAGCGTCATCCAGAGGCGGTTCCAGGTTTTGTGGCCCTGAAAACTCATTACAGTTGCGGGGGGCGGGGCATGTTTAAGAAAAAGAGTATAAATTGTGAATGCCAAATTAGATATAGGCTTTGGAAGGGGACAGTGCAGGTGGGTGGTGGTGAAGCAAAGCCACCGCTGGTCCCCTTGTGTTTCCTATCATGCTGGGCACCTGTGTGTTCAATACATTTTTAAATGCGTTCACTAAACAGTCAAATGTTGGTTGATTGTTCTTCAACCAGTGGAATTCTTAAAAAAGCATACAATCTTCCCAAAATGTTGTAGTTATTTTAATACAGCTTAACTGTGTCAGGGAAGGGGGAAATGAGCTGTAGCATTACTTACGCATGCACGTACACACACTCACTCACTCACTCACCACGCCACCTCTGTACTCTTTCCCTGTGGCTGCTTGGTCATTTGGAAAATTTGGTGAGACAAAGGGTCCCTCTTTCTTGCCTGGGGC